CATACTGTGTGAAAAACTATGGCAAATAATGCAAATAATGCTATTGTAACTGTTGATAATAAGGATAATGATAGAGACCATTATAGTGCAAAACCTCATATGTTTGATGGAGAAAAGTTTGACTATTGGAAGGACATAATTGAAAGTTACTTTCTGGAATATGACTTGGATCTATTGGATTTGGTAATATCTGGCTACACTCACCCAATAGATGATAAAGGTCTAAAGATTGCAATAAGGGCAATGACAGATGCTCAGAAGAAGGTTCACATAAATCACTACAAAGCGAGAACAATTCTTCTGAGTGTTATTTCTTACAATGAGTATGAGAAGATCACAAATAGAGAGACTACAAAGTCTATTTTTGATTCTCTTCAGATGACTCATAAAGGAAATGCTAAAGTTAAGGAGACAAAGGTTGTGGCCCTAATCCATAAATATGAAGCCTTCATAATGGAAGATGATGAATCTGTGGAAACTATGTTTTCAAAATTTTAGACTCTTGTTGCAGGACTCAAGGTTTTGAACAAAGGATATTCTACTACGGATCATGTTAAGAAGATTATCAGAAGTTTTCCTAATAAATGGAGACCAATGGCAACTACTTTGAAGCTATTAAAGGATATGAACAACACAAGTCTTTAGGAACTAATCAGTTCTTTAAGAAGTCATGAGATAGAGCTTGAAGAAGATGAACCTCAAAATAAATTTAAATTTGTGGCTTTTAAGTCTAAGGCTGGAAAGACAAAGGCGTTTCAAGCTGAAGAAGAATCAGGAGGATCTGAAGAAGACTTAGATGAAGATGAACTTTCTCTGATATCCAGAAGGATAAGTCAGATATGGAAACACAAATAGAGAAGGTTTAGAGGATCAAGAAGAACAAACAGTATATTTGAATCTACATTTGGTAAGTGGATTAATCCTCGCATGACTCTGCCTATGGCACAAGGTGGTTACAATCAATGGATGCCTCCTTCTACAGTTCAAGTACCTGTGTAGAATTAGTGGATTTCTCCAGCTCTTAAGGGTCCTCCTCTTGGTTTTTCCCAAAGGCATGTGTACCAACCACAAGCCCACTTTACTGGAGCTGGATTTCTAGAATCAACTAATTTCACTCAACAGGATCAACCTTAGTATCCTGATTCAGAAGCTACACATCATGTGACTAATAATGCTGATTATTTGTCTGAAAGTGTAGTTCTACCTGGTATTGACCAAGTTATTCTTGGTAATGGCCAAGTTTTTCCCATCCCTTCAATTTGAATTGCTTATTTTAATTCCCATTGCACCACACACACTCCTCTCACACTCAAGAATCTTTTACTTGTGCCTCATATCACAAAGAACTTGATGCTTGTGAGCAAGTTTGCTAAGGACAAAAGTTTCTAATTTGAATTTCATCCTGATAAGTGCTTTGTTAAAACACAAGGTCATTCAAATATTTTTCTACAAGGGTTTCTCAATAAGGATGGTTTATACACCTTTTGGCCCCTACAACCAGTTTCCAATTCAGCTTCAGCTTCTCATGCTTCCATTAATAGTGTCAAGGGTCTCTGTGTAACCCACAACTCTTGTTCCCTCATCATACACCATGTGGCATAACAGGTCGGGTCACCCCCATCATGAAGCATTAAAGTCAATTCTGCAGTTGTGTAATACTCTTGTTCCTCATAAATCTCCACTGTATTTATGCACTCCTTGTTGTTTGGGAAAGATCCACAGATTACCTAGTAGACTCTCACACATAAGTTGCCTTTATCCTTCTAATTTTTTATTTGCTGATGTATGGGCCCCTGCTTCTATGGATTCCAGTTGTGGTTATAAATATTTGTTCACTTGTGTGCATGCTTATACAAGATATACTTGGGTATTTCCTATTAAATTGAATTCTGATGTGTGCCTCACCTTCACACACTTTATAACTGCTATTGAAGTTTAATTTTCCACTCACATTAAAGCTCTGCAAACTGATGGTGGAGGGGAGTTTAAATCTCTCACCACTTTATTTCACTCAAAGGGCATTACTCATAGGCTTGCATGTCAACACACACTCTATCAAAATGGCTTAGTTGAGAGGAAGCACAAGCATGTGGTTAAAATAGGGCTAACTTTGCTTGCTCAAGCAAACTTACCCCTCAAGTTCTAGGAACATGCTTGCTTAACTGCTACCTACTTGATTAACATAATGCCTACCCCCTTGTTAGGCATGATATCCCCTTATCTTATGCTCTACAAAATAGTTCCTGGCTATAAACCCCTTAGAGCTTTTGGTTGTGCCTGTTTTCCACATCCCATGCCCTACTCTGCTCAGAAATTCAACTTTCACTCTCAAGAGTGCATTTTCCTAGGGTATGCTTCTAATCATAAGGGTTTCAAGTGTTTGGCCTCTAATGGAAAAATTTATATCTCTAAGGATGTTATCTTCAATGAGGCTAGATTTCCTTATCCACACTTATCCCCCTTATATGTAGCTTCTTCATTTACTTCCTCAAAAAATACTACATTTACTACATTTCCCACTGGCCTCATGACTCACATATTGCCTCAGCATGTCCCTCTTACTACCATTCATATGTCTTCTATCTCAACATTTGCTACCACATCCCTACCCTCTTCTTCTCATAACAATTCATCTGGTTCTCCCTTAATCCCTATCCTGGTACAACCTCTGAAATTGGTTCTAAAAGTCCCTCACTAAAGCAAGCTACATCCTTCATGCCTCAATTCCGACATAATTCCTTCACAAACCCTTTTACTGGACCTGAACCCCCCTTTATTCATCCTAAAAACACCCATACCATGACCACAAGGGGAAAGAGTGGTATAGTTCATCCCAGACAACATCCTATAGTGATAAAACGAGACTATTTCTCAAGTGGTAAAATATGTCATAATGAGGACTGTTTTGACAATTGTTATCTCAAAAGTGTGGTATCTCACTCAACTGGATGTAAATAATGCCTTTTTAAATGACATTTTTCAAGAGGAAGTCTACATGGAACAACCTCCTAGCATTAAGACTAATGAACCTGGTGTGGTCTGCAGGCTTAAGAAATCCCTATATGGGCTGAAACAAGCTCCAAGGGCCTGGTTTGATAGGCTGCGTCTTACTCTTAGGGGATTTGGATTTGTCTCAAGTAGACGTGATCCCCCACAAACTCTAATCATTTATTCTTACATTGTATACATGCTAGTGTATGTGGATGACATTATTGTCATGGATAATTCCTAATCCCACATTCAGTAGCTTATTCAAAAATTAAACTCTCGGTTTTCTCTCAAGCAACTTGGGAAATTGGAATATTTTCTGGGTATTGAGGTCACACAACACTCATATGGCTCTCTTTTCCTTTCTCAAGCAAAGTATCTCAAGGATCTCCTCTCTAAGGCAAATATGGCAGAATCAAAAGGGTTACCTACACCTATGATTACTAATCTAAAATTGTCTAAACATGGGACAAATGTGTTTAAAGATCCATCCTTTTACAGATCTATAGTTGGAGTCCTTCAATATGCTACTCTCACAAGACCTGGGGTTAGTTTTGCTGTCAATAAAGCCTGTTAATTTCTCTCTCACCCTTTGGACAACCATTAGATATATGTGAAAATAATTCTCAGGTAATTAAAAGGCATCCTGCATCATGGTCTCTTGCTTCAACCTACTTCTACTCAGACTCTTGTGTCTATTAGAGGATTTCCATATGCAGATTGGGGTTCAGATCCTGATGATAGGAGATCCACCTCTTGTTCATGTATTTTTCTTGGTCCAAATATGATTTTCTGGTTGTCCAAAAAGCAAACCTTGGTGGCCAGATCCAATACTGAAGTAGAGTACAGAGCTCTTGCTAACTCAGCTTCTGAGATCTTGTGGATTCAATGTTTACTCACTGATCTTAAGGTTCCTTTCACCACTCTTGTGTTGTATAGTGACAACTTAAGTACTGTTTCCCTGTCACATAACTCCATTCTCCATGCCAAGACAAAGCATATGGAGTTAGATATCTTTTTTCTAAGGGAAAAAGTGTTAAGCAAAACTCTACTTGTTCAGTATGTTCCTGCCTTTGATTAGTATGCTGATCTTCTAATAAAACTCATTTCTCCTCAAATATTTCTACAACTCAGGGCTAAACTTCAGGTGCATGACAAAGTCTCCTTGCTGTAAGGAGAACCTTGTACTTGAGGGGAAGATAATAGAGTAATCGTAGTTTAGCATATAGAAGCTAAGCCTAAGTAGTGTTGTTGTAAGCAGCTAAACTGATAAGTTTAGTCTGCATAGTTGTACTATAAATATTTTGTTCTAACAGATTTGTAAGCTCAATTATGAAATAAGAGATTCAGTTAGAACAAACTTTCTCTCTCCTTTTTCCCTTTTCTCTCTATTGTTTCTACCTTTCTAATAAGGGAGTTTTGGAAATATGATTGTACAACAAAAGAGACTGCTTAATGCTAAACCTATCCACATGGAAGATTATGGACTAATAAGGGTAATTTTGGTTTTTAAAGAGCTATTAACTTTCTTATATGATAGATTTCCACTGACTTCAGGTATTTTCATAAGAGAAGAGGGTAAGAAATAAAAAAAGGGAAATAAAATGAGACAAGTTGCATTTTTAGAGTAATAGTGAGAAAGACAAAGTGTTGTTCCGCACTAAAGTTAGCACATCCTATTCCTATTTAGAGAGTGTTGTATTTGTCAATAATTTTTAACAAAGGAAAGTAAGTACCAACAGTAAGAACATATCAAAGAAATTTTTGAGACAAACAAACAGATATTTAACGAGAAATTACAAAACATTTTTTAATTCTTATTTACTGTTGTTTTAAAGTCCAAACTAACTAAACTCACAAGACACCACATGTATAAAGTTCAGCTCAAATCAACAACAATAACTAAACTAAACTATATTCCACTAGACTAACTGTTGTTACATCTATCAAATTCATAGTATAAAAACTTTCCCACAAGACACAATCAGTATACATTTGAATTGACAGTGAGTTTAATAATCACCATTGTCATCACTCTCTCCACCATCTATGACGCTTTTCTCCGGGAAAACATTGTCTCTGTTGAAATCCTGTAATCTGATTCCCTCAGTCTACAAGCATAAAACATGCTGTCTGAATTCACCCAATTTATCTTCGATGATAAAAATTATTTCCTTAAGAGTTAGATTCTTCTCTTCAAGACGTGTAATATTTAAATCATGTTCATCAACCCTATTCTCTAAACTATTTTCACTTTGATATACCATTTCAAACCTCCTCAAATCACTGTTCAATCTCTTTTCAACTTCCAAATGTCCATCGACAATGTTTTTAGTTTCGTAGGAGTTTTCTTTCTTCGATCGGACATGGATTAGGCCTTTCATTATGTCGTATTTGTCAACTCTCCATCTTTCCTTCGCCATCTCCACAACCACCTCTGTCGATGGTGACAATGTTGGCGTTGTCAAGATCCTCGAAGTCGTTGCACAAGGAGACACCAGCGAAGCTATGCGGTTAGACGTTTTCGCACGCATTATAAACGATGTCGTATTGCGCAAAGCGAAAGGAGCAGAGAAATATCTATTAGGATTTACACAGCGTTTGTCGTTGCGTCTCTCGAGTTTATTTTCGTTCCATTTAACCCGACCAGTGTAACTCACGGGACATGGCGGATGGTCGTTGAATGTTGTGATCGAGAAAACACGACTGAATTTTGCAGCATGTCAGGTGGTTGGCGCGACAAAGTTGCGTAATTTCAAGGGGTCTGCTGGAAGATCTGAAACTGGCTTATCATTATTTCACTCAAACAAAAATAACTTATCCTAAAAAATTTTGAGAGAAAATTAGATGATGAAAAATTAGATCGAGAGTGAGGGAAATTGGTGATTAAATTATGAATGAGGATTATATTGATGATAAAGTGAGAAAATAATGGATTTGAATAGGAATGACAATGGATAAGATCTAGATAAGATACTATAGTATCTTATCCATACCCGTAATTTAAAAAAAATCTCCATACCCAAACACATATCCTACCCGCATGACACCAACAATTGCCATCCCTAAGTTTGAATGAAATGTACGGTGGGGTTTCGATTGTGATTGTCAAATCGAATTCATAAGGTTTGTGTAAAGTGGGAATAGATAGTTTAGCATTGCAATATATGGGCTGTGTATAAAAGGGTTTGAGTTTGAGTATATGCATGTGTGTATGTTTTTCTGATGGGTATAAATAAATAAAAGTGTATGACATGGATATTTCTGTCATTAATGTGTGTGAGAAATAGGTAACTTTTTGGAATTTTTTTTTTAATAACTAAGTATTAAAAAAAAATTTCGTAAATAACCGCGTTTCGGAAAAAATTACGCAAATAACTATGTTTCAGATGACTCCCCAAAGGAGGAGCCATCTCACTTGGCGCCTACTCCCATTTTTTAAGGGGAGGCGCCATCTCACTTGGCACCTATGTGCTTAGGGCATGCCCTAAGCCAAGTGAGATGGCGCCTAAGTGCAATTCTAGGGCAAAATTTGATTTTTTTTTTGTCCGTGCGTTGCGTATTGGATACAGGATCAACAAAATGGACTTTTTATTTTAAAAATAATAATTACATCCAACTGTATTACATTAAAAAAACAGATAAAAAAACAGATAAAAGAAACAGGAAAAAAAATAGATAAATCAGTGATCCCCCGGAACCCGGTAATGACCCCCGGTTCCGCATCCCTGTCCTCGCCTTTCTCGTGCTAGGTATCGTCGTGTTTCCTGCTGCGGCAGGGTCGATGGCCCAGCGAAGTCAATGCGTTCCGGATCCATAAAACCAGTCAGATCTCCAAATCTAGAAGATCCACTTTGGTACAGTCGATTACCCATACCCTCAAAGTTTGGTCGTGTTAGCGGTGGGTGGGGTTCCATGGTGGGTCTGTAGCATTGATCGTCTGAGTAAGGTGGATAGAAAGGAAATGGATCTTGGGGTGTTTGGTATTGAGGATGTTGGGTGGTTTGGTGATATTGTGGTTGATGGTAGGCTGGGTCGGTTTGTTCGTAATCTTCCGACATTCCCATATCAGGGCTAAGGCTGGATGTTGAGGGGCCCATATTGGGATATACAGAAGACTGAAATTGTGTGTGGGGTATGCGGGTGTGTTGGTATTGTGATTGGTATTGTGGTTGGGTGTGAGGCATATTGGGGTATTGGTAGTGACGTGGTGATTGTGGTTGGTTGTGGGGCATTTGAGTGTAATTTTTTTGTGGTGGGGACTGTGGTTGGGTGTTTGTGGTTCTGTTTCTTCTTGGGGGTTGGTGGGAGGTTGATGGGTTTTGGGTTTGTTGTTGGGGAAACGAGGGTTGTGCCCATTGTGTGCGTGGGTCAACCAAGTACCTTGGATGAGACACGTGCATTTCAGGGTTACTAACCGACCTGTACCAAGATAAATATTGATCCGTGTGTCGCATATTACCATGATTAAGGAAAACCGGGAATTGCAAGACATAGCGGTGACGCCTCTGCCACATCTTACACCATTCCTGAGCGAAGTCTTTCAAGTTGGTAAGACCCCACTGGGCGTCGACCCTTTTGAGATGCCATAGGGACAAATAAGTTGGATCACTTGGTATCTCTTGATGCATTCCGAACTGCATCTTCACACGGTCGCTGTGGTGCATCTCCATAACGTTGAACCGAATGATTGCAGTCTTTACGGTCCAAAGTGCTGCATCCTCCGGGTTTGGATCATGGCCTAAACCCAAATATGGTCTCCAGACGAACTGCGATAAAATTTAAATCAGGTTAACAAAAACGTAATGTATAAATAATTTAAATGAAGAAAAGTTTAAAGGTACGACGTACATCATCCGAGCCTAAGTGATCCAACAGATTGCGGTATAGTGCAACATTGAATCTTGGATTCTTGCCGTAATCCATACCCCTCACGCAATACCTAAAGGAAATGAAAAAAAAAATTATTCTTAGCATATATTTGGTGAAGAGATGAAAATGTAATAAATGATATAACTTGATGACTTACTTTGTTGCGTACGGGAAAACGAAAGTGTTGTTGTTGACGGGGTTTAAGGACTCCATCCTCCACCAACCCCAGGCTTGTAGTAAAAAAGCGCACCCATAAAATGTACATTTTTCCTTGACTGGCTTTTTGCACAAGGAACTGTATAGGTGGGCTAAAACTGCAGAACCCCAACTATACTTTTTTGTTTTTTCAAAATCCCTAAGTAAATTTAAGTACATAAAATTTACACTATTTCCCGTACTTTCGGGAAATAAAAAGGTACCAAATAGTATCATAAGATATGTTCTGGCTTTTACTACCCTGTCTTGCTCTGAGGAATTTTCGTTTAATTCCAAACTTGCATAATGACTTTTAAGCTCAGTGAGTAGTATTCCCTGACCTCTCGCACCACCACCTTCAACCATATCCCTTCCCAACAGTTCTTCACATTGAGAGTTAGGTTGTTGAACCGACCCGTTCACTGCTGTGATCGGTGGAAATAGAACTGACTGTTTTGGAATGCTGGTTCGCGTTTGCGTTTGTTTTTGCAAAATATCACGGTAAGCAAGAGTCGCCACCGTCTTTTATTTTATCCAACAAGGAAAGGACAAAAGCACATCAAAATTCCTTTTCGAGATGTTTCTCGGGTTCGGGAGGTAGATTATAGAAAGGGAAGGTGTTAGCACCCTTTCTATCCGTGGTTATCCACGGGCTCTTAGATACTTGTTCACTATGTTTTCAAAAAGTTTTACTTTTCTTGTGTTTGTGGGTTTTGAAAAGAGTTTTGTTTGAAAACTTCGATTTAACTCTTGTTTCTGTCCTCAAGAGTGTATGAAGTGTTGTTTGAAAAAAAAACTTTGTTTGAAAAGTGTAAGTGCAAAAAGTTTGTTTTATTTTGAAAGAGCAAGTACCTGAGAACCTCTACCTACTCAAAAGGAATTAAGTTGTGTAAATATCCTTTAGACAGTGCCATCCCACTATTGAGGAGTAGGTAGCACCGTCGTTGGAGTTTCCGGGTCAATTCGATTTTAGGGACGTGTGGTCACTAAAGCAACGTTAGGATGCCTTAGCGGTAACCCTAATGTCTTAGATCATTTTTTATCCGAGGCAACCGTTTTGAGGCAACTTTGATCTTTAGACAGGAGGGCGACCTCTAAAACTTCCTATACTCAATGACCACGTTGAGGCAGCCAAGTGAGGCGTACCCTAGGAGTGGCATGTGCAAGTGTGTCAATTTTCAGTTATGTTATCTTTGTACATGTTATGGTGAGCTACGGTTGATTTTAAGTTAAGATAGATCTTGTCATGCATAGCCTATTGTTCATACATCTAGCAGTTAATGGTTGCGGAAAATAAAACTAAGCTATTACAAGGCGTCGGGTATTTACATCGCCAAAAACAAACCCTTGAAAAGTAAAATGCGGAAAAGTAAAATAAAGCGATAAAAAGTCCTAATTAAAACTATTACATCCTCGGAGCAAATACATTATTGGATCAAAAATATGAATCAATCAAAAATCATACGCGCGAGAAAAATTGAATCGGAGAGTTTTTAGGGTTTTGACCCTTTTTTAAGAAAGAAGGAGATTTTTGTTATTTTTTGAATTAAATGAATTTAAACCTAAGTTAATTAATTAATTAAATGAAAAAAAGATATTTTTATTGGGTTTTTTAAAATAATAAAAATGAAAATGATTAAAATGGTTAAAACCTAATTCTACACCAATTTTTATTTATTGCAAAAATATTAATATTATGCCTAATTAAAACTAAACAAATTTTGTTAATATTTATTTACAAAATAAAATAAGGAAATTAAATTTAATAAATAAAAATATTGTATTTTTTGTTTTCTGATTTTATTAAGAAAATGTTAATTATTTTAGTTAGTTGTTAATTAAGAATTAATAAAAACAAATTAAATAAAATATAAAAGAGAAGAAGAAATTAACCCAGGGGGGTGCTGGGCCTGATTTGGGAGTGAAAGGAGCTATTCTGAAGCCCATTTACATCCAGGCCTTGTTGACTTTCTGGATTATCCACACGCTTGTTGACTGGAGACTATGGTAAGGACCCCATTCTGGCCATTGGATTTGGTTTGGAGACATCTGGCGCACTGGAATTTGAGGTGCATGGTGGACTTCCTTTTGAAATCTGCACGAGAATACCTGAGGAAGAAAAATAACAAGGTTTTGGGGGACCTGGGATTCGAACCCAGGTCCCGAGGGATAATGCTTCAACCTGCTTGCCAACTCAACCAGCGCGTTCATTCGTTAATGGGATACCAAACAATTATTATATGGAAAAACATGTCACTATGCCTGGAAAAAATAAAAGGCGCGCTGATTCAAATAGACGAACCAGATGACAACACGTCATCATCTTCAACCTTGGCCCTGCAAAAAATATAATCAGATAGCGGGGGTTTTTAACCTCCACTACCTCCCTGCACGAAAAATAGCGAATAGACACAGAGCAAACATAAATATTTCGCGAGGTATGTGTTGGAATCGTCTTGGTCTCACG